CCCCAAAACCCCAAAACCCCAAAACCCCAAAACCCCAAAACCCCAAACAATAAAACTAATATTGAATAATTTTCCGAAATTTGTATAATTTTTAGCATTAATTAGAAAATATGGAACCCCAACACTCAGATGCAGCTAAAGTTCTGAAGAGAGCCCGTACCCAGCCTATTGTTGAAATTGAGAAGGAGGAGAAAAAGAATCAGGAAATCTTATCTGTCCAACAGGAGATCCAGTCTGATCAACAAGTTGATTTACAAGATAATATACCTCAGCATGAAGAGACAAAGGAACCAGAAGAAATTGTGAAAGATCAAAATAATGGCGACCAAGCTGGCAAAGTCACGGAGCAAAATTTAGACATCAAAGACCTTATTTTTGGGTCACATCTACTAAGAAGCGCATTTAGTCTAGATGTATTCAAAGGCCAGACAAAGCAGATCAGTGAAGATAAACCATTATTTTCATTGAAGAACCAAGATTTAGCTAAAACAGCTGATACAAATACTCTTGATATCAAAGGGATTACTATACCTAAAGACTTTGAAGAGAAGGAGACTCCTGACACTGCCTCTCAATACAAACAGAGGCGCCAGAGATCAGTAGAGATAGTTGAAATGATTCAAAGAAACAAGAATAACTTTTATTTCAATATGATTATGGACAAGGAAAAGCCTAATAATGCTTTACACCCATACATGACTCTAAAGGGGAAGAAGGACAGCCAGCCTTTTGCTTACACTAGAATCAAGGTCCCCAATATAAATGAGGGTACTAATCTGGTTCCTCTGACACCAAACAAGAAGTTTGCTGCAGAAGACTTAGATACTGAAGCCCAGCTAGCTAAAGAATATAATACCATGAGGAGAGATTTCACAGCAAGGAAGAATAAAATAAGTTCACTAATCACAGAAAGGAATGATAGAGAATACTATCTCTCGATCAACACAAACCCTTTTAAAGTAAAAATGGCTCATCTTAAGAAGATGAATAAGGCAGTTAATGAAGAAATTAATAAGAAGATTGTAGAGAAATAGCAAGCTCCTTAAGACCTTAAAACAGCATCAAAAGATTTTAAACGATACTGGAAGGCTGGTAGTCACCAAGGGAACGGAATACCTGTACAAACAAGGAATGACTGAGAAACAGCTCCGAGCATTTATCGCAAATGACCGGGAACTGAAGTCTAAATAAGTTTAAACTTAGACAGATCATCAAAAAGGTTGAAGATGAATTAGATCAACTGGATTATAAATAAGCTCAGTTATAAAAATGAATTTGAAAAACACAAGACGAAAATTCAAATCCAGGAGCACGAGCATATGGATAAGTGTCAGTACAGATTCACTGGATCCCTGAATAACCCTAAGATGAGGAAATCTTTGAATAGAAAAAGAGCTCTTCTGCATGATACCCTCCATTCTAACCTGAAAGCAAACCATAAGGTGACCGCCTTCGAGACTGCAGAAGGAGAGCAATATACAATTGATTTATTAAGAAAGACAGAGGAAAGAAATCAGGAAGAGCAACGAAAATTCTTACAAAGATATCTAGAGAGACAAGAGAGACTGAAAAATGAGGAAAGAAGAAAAAGACTTGCCATACAGAAGAGAATTGCCGATGCCAGAACAAGATTTGCAACCCATACTTGTAGAAAGGAAAGATGCCTGAGCTGCTTAAAGATAAAGCAGGAAGAGGAAAGAAGTAGCAGACTGAAGAGCCCTTCATTATCTCTTGAGAAATCAGTGGGGCTCCATACTGTGTCAGAGGCTGCAAAGTTTTGGAACAAGCCACTGCCAACTCCTAGATAAATAAATTTTGTTAAAGTATTAATTCTTAGAATATCTTCGATCAAATTCATGCCTTTTCTCTCGAAGTCGTTCTTGTCGATACTGATGCTTCTGATTTCTAAGCCGTATTTCTTTCTCTTTCCCTTCTTCTTGTAATGCTTTGGATACGAGATGGTTGTAATCTTGTCCTTCTTCTACTTTATTTTTTATGTTATTTAAGAAATTTCTCTTTTTGTTTGAAAGCGTTATTTTATTTTCTTCTTCGCTTTTTCAAGTTTGAATATTTGATCATCAAATTTGTGCCTTTTATTTTCAATACGACCCTATGTGATTAGAGATAGTTGAGATTATACCTTGCTTTGTTCCTTAAGGCTATTTTTCTAACTCCTTCCTTCTCTTTTTCCTTTTCAAATCTCTTAACTTTTGATGCATCTTCCACTCCTTCTCTTCTTTCTGCTTTTCAAGTGCTTTAATTCGCTTTTTCAATGAGTAAGTAAGATTATGACTGCTTGATATTCATTCACCAGCTTGCTTGGCTAGATTCCTTCCTCTTTTATTAAGCCCTATAAATTTCCTTTAGGAAATCTCACCTCCAATCTTTTCTTTAATATAAGCCTTCACAGGTGAAAAGGTATGACTGTTCTTCATGGTAAGTTTCTCTAAGTTCATACTCAGGTCATGGTCGAGAGATATCTCTATAGAAATGAGTAGATGTCTTACCTCTTTCCTCACGAACGAGGCTCATCCTTCGGAAGAGCCTCTCAATGTTCTCTAACAGAGACTTTGCTCTTCCTTTCTTGTAGAAGTATTTTCTGGATATATGCACTGCAATCTGGACTAAGAGGATCTCCAAACCATGATAGGAGAGATACTGGCATTCCTCCTGAGGTGTCCTAAGTAAAGCTATATGATCAGTGAGGAGCCTTACAGTTTACTTCACGAACTATATGTGCTATCTCATCTGGTGTGAGAAAGTACTCTGAGATCGTTCTCTCTCTTAGCAATTTTCAAGTCTCACTAATATTAAGCCGGTTATTTGAGAGGCTTGTAACTCTCAAACTCTTCTTTCTTATCAAACTCTTTAGTGGCAGAGTACTTTTTAAAGAGAAACATTATGGACTTTTTATATGACAAAAGCAAAGCATCAAGGTCTTTAGATAATTGAGTGTTTTCCTCAGGTAATGAAAAAGCTGAAGTTATCCAATAATCTTACTTGTAAATTCCATTCTGAGTCTCTGCATATAAAGTCTCTTATCATCAGCTTCTCTTTGCTGTTTATCTTTATCTGAAAGAAAAGAGATGAATCTCTCACTATTCTGTTCGCTTTCATTATGGCTGCTCATTTCATGCTTAAGGTAACCTTCTGAAGATAATTCATGCACTTCTGTGTCTAATCAGTCATCATTTATCACATCATCAACTAAGTACTCATCAAGTGCTCTATTTGCTAATTTCAGTTTATTTGGATTCTTTCTCATGACAATTGGCTGCTCAATCTCTCCATGAATATTCCTTAAAGAAGCTCCAATCAGAGGAACGGTCTTTTGACGAATTTTTCGCTTGAGTTTCTCGAGCCAATCTGGCTTTAATGAGTATTTAAACTTTAGTTTAGACATCATTGACCTGAGAACTATTACACCTCTCTCCTGTAGTTGAGAATCTGGGATATCCAAGATAGCCATTGCTACGCTAAGACAAAGTGATCTTTTCAAGATCTTCTTCTGGTCATTGTTCAGTGAAGGATCAAACTCTCAAGTTACTCCTCTTCCTGGAAACAATGTGTTGTTCATTACAACAACAGTGTTATGCCTTAACAGGTTACTGTTCAGGACAGAATTAGGTTTATGGGAAAGGCCACTTTCATGTTTTTCAATTTCATAAAGTATAGTGAATAAGTATTTTAGGAGTTTAGTGGTAAAATTGCTCATTTGGTCTACATGAATGTACCTATTCAGCACAACCATGAGTAACCTAAGTGCTGGTTTGTGGTACATCATGCTATTTTATACTCATCCATGCTAAAATCTTTCATACCTTTAAAGCAAGCACAAGAGTTAACTTCTTGTGATTGACTATTACTGAAAAGAAATTAAAATCATAACAGTTCAGGTAATATGTATCATCTAGAAATTTCTTGATTGTAGATATCAGTGGGTTCAGGACCACTTCTAATGGAATAATTGGATTTTCAGTTAAAATTTGAGCCATATTTGATACCAAAAATTCTCGCAAATCCTCATTATTGTGATATTTTGGAACAGATTGTGCCAAAAATTTGTAAATTTTCCTAGCATGCTTATTTTTAGTGGCAGCAAACTTTGACAAAATGTTAAACAAAACTGTAAAAGCTGTCAGCTTCTGAAATTTCCAGGGAGTTTTTGATGCTTCAAAAAGGCTATCAATTGCAACATTGACTCTTGAGGAATCTCATTTAAAGGTGCTAATGATCTCTCCCAGAAATGTTATTCATATCTGTCGAACAGAATTAGGATCACTTGCATCATTCTTAAGATGAGAAATAAGGAAATCAATCCAGCTTGTCTGAACTAGTCCTGATAAAAAGAAAGTCTCTATATCTGGATAATCATCGGACATATCTTTCAAAAGAGCCATAATGGCTTGAATAGTTTCTAAGTATTTGTATATATCTGAGTCGCATATTTTAAGCAAATGCTCCATGAAGAGCTCTTCAAGATGATTATATGCTATATTTTTATCAAGAATTGTCAAATGTTATGACCCAGATCAGGATGTCTTCCAAAGATATCCACTTGGAATTTAAGCACTTGGTCTTGCTCCTTAATCCAATCCCAAAAATAGCTAATATAGTAAGTTTGACTGAATTCTGATATAATTTTAAGCAATAGTTCTGTAGTCAATTTCACAGTTGTTGCATCCTTGGAGAATAACCCTACTTTCACTACATTCATCATGTTAGCTATTTGGGAGGGTATTCTCTGTGGGTTTGCACTAAGGATAACTTCAACCATTCTTGAAATATATTTGTGTAAGTATTTATACCATTTCCGTAAGCAATAGCTCTCCTTTTTATTTCCTTTTACTACAGCCACAGTCAAAAATTTGAAATCATTAGGATTTACAAAGCCTTCAGAAGGCCTTGGCTTTGCTTTAAACGCCTTAGAAAGAGTAATGATTATGAACTCATGAAGACTGTCTGCTTCATCAGCAATTTTGTTGTAATTGATTTCATGTGTCATATCTAGTGCCTTTTTGCTATACCTGCTAGGCTTTGAGCTACTTGAGAACAAGCTCCTCTCTACCTTTTCATTGATTTTTGATTTTGCATTGATGTTCTTACTGTATGAAATACTATTATAATTATTTAAAGAAGCTAAAGCTGGAAGCTTCAGCTTTTTCTTTGGAGAATTGCCCTTCTTGGAGAGAGTTACCTCTCCATCGACTAATTTCCCATTAGAACTTGAAGCTCGGGGCATTATCGTTGATAAATTAGTAGTTTTATTTTCAGTAATCAAAATCCTATCCTTTGAATTATAATTTGCATAATTCCTCGCAGGTGATAAGCTGTATTTCAAATTTAAAGATTTGTTGTTCGAAGCAAGCTTTGAGCCATGCTTCCTTTTTGCAAAATGCTTTGGCTGGTATAGTTTTGGAAAATCCACATCATAGCCATACTCCATGCTTCCCTTTTCAAATTTGGTCAGTTCTCTTATAATGAAGGATAGAGCATCGTAGTCTCCACGAATAAAAGGTTCTGTTTGGTACTGCTGGTGTTTATCAATGATTGTAATGTTTCCCTATATCAATGAGTATATAACATCTCGAAGATGATTTATCTAGTATGGTTTAAGCATTCTCCAACCAGCAGTTAGATTCTACCAAACGCCACAGATGTACCTTTATAAAGCTCTCAAGGCTTGGAGCTACAATGGTAGCATAATCTGAGTGCCCTCTTGCTTCAGAACTTGCAAGCATTATCTGAAATTCGTAAAATATTCTATTTCAATTAATTTTATCTAAATTGGGGTTTTGGGGTTTTGGGGTTTTGGGGTTTTGGGGTTTTGGGG